GGTTGGAAGAGTGAGTGGAGAGCAACCTACAGAACAAGAATGTATATGACAGATCATTTGGCTCACATTTTCAAACCAACCCAGCAAATTTCACTTCCAGAATTAAAAAGCCAACCAGAATACAATTCAGTTTTCACATTGGCCAAACGTTTTGATGTAGATGCATGACCAGAAATTCATAAGATGCATAAATTAAGGAAAACTGCAAATAAAAATGGGCATATTATAGGAAATTGCACACAGAAAGGCATAGTTTAGGGGAAAGTGCTTGCAGAAATATGTATTCATAAAAATTGCATTCCAGTTTTCATGCACACAAAATAGCTCAAAAATTCATACAAGTTATTTATTTTATTTATTTATAGCATTTTTATGCTGCCCCCTTCGCAAAAAGCCTCGGGGCGGCTTACAAAGCAAATAAACAAATGTAGAATAGACCTTAAAAATCCGGATACATCTTGGCAAAACTATAAAAACCAATAAATAAAAACAGCAATTAACAGTTAAAATATCGTGTAAATAAAAAGGTCTTGGCTTGGTGCCAAAAAACAAATACTGACAGTGCCAGGCGGACCTCTCTGGGAAGCACATTCCATAGGTGGGGCGCCACCGCAGAGAAGGCCCTCCTCCGGATACTCACCCTCCTAATATCTTTCACGGAGGGCTCCCGGAGAAGGGCTGCTGCCACAGATCTCAGGGGATGGAAGGGCATATATGGACGCAAGTTAGACTAACTCTCCTTTTAAAAAATGTCATGTGGTGTGAAATGGGACAGAATGCACTTGTGCTTGCAAAAATGGAAATGCTATGGAATGCAGAACAGTTATTATGTGTTATCTCTTCTGGAGAAGAACACATTATATAACTTTTGAGAAACAAGTCAAATCTTCCAGGTAATTCACTAACAGAAAGCTCTTTGCTTATCATCTACATCACTCAAATTTTCTTTGATTACCCACTTACCAGTCCTTCAGAGAAGATTTGGAGCAGCTCTGGCTGCAATAGAGGAAAGGTTCTCAATCCGCCAGGAGTGTTCATCCCACTGGCGAAAGAACCTCAGGAATGATGTCCAAGAGGGACAGTCTTCATTTGAAGTTAACCCTCCTTTCTTTTGTTCATCTGATATTTGCCCTTCCATAAGAATGCAACTCAGTACCCATAAGTTCTTGATTTCAAGAAAATACACATTTTGATATTTATGATAGTAAGGGGATGTAAAGAGAATAGAAAGGCAATTATTTATTTTGTACCTTCTATATGATCGTTGACTTGACAGCTAAGCAGCCATTCCCCCACATTCTTTGGCTCCATGAGAGCATCCACAAAGGTAGCCGGGAAGAGGCTGATTGTGTCAACTCGATGTTTCCTTTCCATCAAGACATGCCCGTGGAAATAAACTGAATGGATATCAGCTTCATTACCAATACCAAAAAGATACCATTTCACTTTCTCTTCTGCACACATTGTGAGATTGGGAAGATATCCATACATGTATCCATTAATTGCTTTAAAAAATGACAGCATAGTTAAAACATAATTACCACAGATGCTTACAAACAGCTGAGATCAAGCATGATGTCGTCAAGTAAGCAAAATTGTGCTTCCAAAAAGCCTTAACATTTTAACAAAGCTGTTGCAGAACTCATTTTTGAATTATATTGATGCTCTAGATATCATATGGATGATACTCATCCTACATTTCTTTAGCAACTTCAATTGGCTTACTCAGCATTTCAATAGTTTCTCATTCAACTAATCATCAGGTCTATCATTATCTACTTGTCTTTAAGAGAGAGCATCAAGGAAAACAAAATGACAGTCCAGTCCAGTGTAGGAACACACATGTAAGAGCACAAACATTGTGCAGAAATTTGTGGAGAAATGCAAAATGGTTCAGAAGCAAATATTCCATGTTCAGGGATACTGCATATCCACTGACTCCCCCATGCTATGATGGAATTGTATAATTTGTGAATTTCTGTGCAAGTTATGCAGAACACTTTATGCACACCCACACAAGTTTCTTCTAAGCATGCAACTATTTCTTTTGAAAGACTCACATACAGTGCATTTTGTTGCTCTCTTGGAACTCTTCATTGTCTTTGTCAACTTTGTCAGGTTCAGAACAATGTTCCTCAATATTCTTATCTAAGTACCAACTGAAGTTCTCATCCATCACAGAGAACAACAGGACAAATTCTCGGTCAACATCCTTATCTTTTCCTTCTTGTAGTGTTCCTAAGAGAAAAGGACACATTCCCAGAATTTACCTGCTGCAGTTCTCATCTCCTAGTTATTAGTTCGTAGGTATGCAACAAATATAAGAATGGATCTGGTGCATGTGATGGCCACTGGCTGCTCTTGATCTTCCTGGGCTCCATTTCTTGGTCACATCAGAATATAACGCAAAAATATGGCACAAAGGAAACCCAAAGAAACTCCCATGGGGGAGTCAACATTGCCCCACCCCCCACAAAATGGGTTTCTCTTAAAACTTAAAGTTCAAAAATTTAGAACTCTTTTACAGCTTTTAAAACTAGTTTAAATGTTTAAAATTTCAAAACCTAATAAAATGTAAAACAATTTTAAAACATTTAACTTTAAAATACCATGAACAGTAGAAATAAAATCAGGAAAGAATATATAATAGGAGTGGGGGTTTAGTACAGCTAAAATTCTAAACAAAAATGTTTTAAGAACACACTTAAAACTGAACAAAGGAACCAGACTAACTTCCTCCAGAAAAGAGAGTTCACCACAAGTCCCATTGCATTGTCCTCAGTTCACTGCATCATAGGAGCTGAGGATTTAAAACTAGTCTTTTCCTTGTCATAAGCGTGCTAAGGATGTGTGAGGAATCTGTTTTTGTGGGGAGAATCCACCAAACTCCCTGGGCTCAGCCCACAGACTTTCTCACAGCCCTGATTCTAACTCTCTGGTGAGCACAAGTGTCTGTGCAGGCATCCACTAGGAAGCAAAACCCTCTTCTGTACAAGTGACTTGCAGCTTTTGTTTGTGCTGCATATGCTGCAGAAGAAGGTTGCTGGTTATGCAACTGGAATTCCATGAGTGTTCACAGACTTCCTCTCAGCTCAGCTCATTTCCTAAGTGAGGGCTAAGTGCAAGAAGTCCAACAAAGAGAAGAGAAGAGATCATCACAACCCGAAAGGGAAAATTTGTTAACTGACCATTTGTTAATATCCATGAAGCAGGCAAAAATACATCAGTGCATATTAAAGACTGTATGGATATATTCTTATTAAAATGTGTAATAAACTCTTCTCAAAAGAAACAGCTACTGGAAGTTGTGGCACTCAGTGAAACACATGTTTTTGCCAAAGAAGCTCAGCCTACGTTCCATAGACACAGCAGGTTGGTACCTGTTGTGGTGATCTACTATTAGGCCTTTTCTGTGCCTACAGCAGTTTCCCAAATTCCCATATGTGGCCTTGGCTCCAAAGGGGTTGGGGTTCCTGTGGTAATCAGTTTATTGTCTGGTAAAAACACACTTGCAGATTGCTTCCATTTTTGTGGCTGGATCCAAATTTAGCCATGAGAAACTGAAAGATTTTCCTACCCCCTTGTTCATGGCAGCCCCTCCAAGGTCTCCGAAAATGCAACACAGAGAGTCAAGGTACTCTGCTGGGTGAGTTATGATGTAGACCAGAAGAAGTGACCCCCAAATTCAGACACAGGTGCATTTCATAAGCCCTTCCATCCCATAAAGGCAGAATATGGCTTCTACATAACTTCTGTATTTGTAAATTAAGTAAATATTGTTTTAAAATGCCATAAATCTCTAGTGTTTTCTCCTTTAATGGAAGTCAAATAAACTTGAGTAGGGTCTTCTCATGGCTCAAGCTGATGAGAAGTTCATAATGCATGAGAAACATAATACATGAGAAACGGAAAGTTCGGATCAGATTTCAGCAGCAAAACTCATTCCTTGTGAATGCAGATTACTTTGCCTCCCATTTCTTGGGATAAAAATGGTGACAACAATCTATCACCTTCTATTACCATATCCTTTACCTGTCTTGCAAATAATCAAAGGTCCAATTAGCCCAGAAGCAATATCCTTTGGGGCGTCTATATGTGAGTGATAAATCCTAGTTATACAGTTACTGTCTCCTTCTGCTGGACCATGGTCTTTTGTTGCAGTCCACCTATAAACATGCTGCTCTCCTGGTTGCACAGCATCATCTTTCTTGTGTGAACCTGAGGTCTTGTCAGGATAAAAAGCACCTAGGAAATATAAGAAAGAGCACCCGCAATAGTATAAGGTATAGTGGTTTGTTTTGTTTCACAAACATGGTTGGCTTGTTTTCTGCTTTTTGGGTTCAAGGAAAAGCAAAGGGGGCCTGACCATCCAGAAAACCCTGGACAGAACTCCAGGAGTTAGTCTGTGGCTTGCTGACGGTCTCTGAAACAGGGTGTGGGAGAAACCGCTATAAAATCCATCACCTATTAGCTTCTGTTTTGACTTTCATCATAACCAGGCAAGCAACATGGTGCCCACAACAACATCCATTACATTAGAAATCTCTCTGACCAGAAGGACATGCAGAAGCTTGTATTCACCTGTTTAGCGATAACCCAAATCCATCTTCCAACTTTGTAGTAACTCTAGATACACAGGTGGCTTTATTTTGTCCCGATTATCTTCAAAATGGAAGTGGCCTTGCCTGGCCCTTGATAATATACTAATCCAACTGATTCCAATGTCCACCTGCTATGGGTTGTACCCTTAATGCTTGTAAGCCTCCAAACTCAGAAGCTTATGGGCATCCAGTGCAAAGCTGGTGGTACAGAAGGGGCAATCTTTGCCTCCCTGCATCTCCCACTTGGCATTTCTGCGAGATGGCACTTTGAAGTAGGAGAGAAGGAGGCAGGAGCACCTGGACCCCAATCTCTTTCCCTTGCCGCTGCTCCAGAATGTCCCCTTTACCTCCTCTCCAAAGTCCATTTCCTGACCTCAGAGAGTAACAAGCAGAGTTGTTTCTGCACCAGATGCAGTACAAGGGAAGGCAGATGAGAGTATGGATCCCCAATGCTGAGGTCAGGGCTCTGATTTTGGATCTGCAAATATGAATTATCCTAGTCTCCCCATACACACATACACACCCTGATGCTCTCAGGGTGCTCTCAGGATTGCTCTCTTAAGCTGTCTTGAGACGTTGGGATAAAATGTTTTATTAGATAAAATAAAGATGGGCTAAAAATGTTTTATTAAATTTAAATTAAATTAAATGATCTGCTGTCTACCTTGAAACTTGATGCACTTTTCACAGAGATTACGATTTCTACTGTCTATATACCATTCATGCTGTTTTGTTGAACTGGAAATTATTAATCCAGCTAAACTGTTATGGTCTTGTAAGGAGAGGTTGAGAGAATCTTACCTTCATTTTCTTTTGTATATTTGACACCATGTGGATGAAGAGTGTAGGGTCTAGAAGCAAAATTTTTTAAATGGACAACAATCCTGTCTTCAACCTCTGCTTGAACAATAGGGCCGAGGAAGCCCAGCCAGGAAGGTTTTTCAACCCGGTGGTTGTATGAATTATCTGTGAATTGCATGTATACAGCTTTTTTATATGTGCTTCCTATCCGGTTTGGGCCTTGTTGGAGAAAGACACCAGCATGTCTGTAATATATAAGCATATGAGCCTAAGTTCTTCTTTAAAAAAACACATCTGTTCTTCATACAACAAATGTAATAGGCCCCATGAGAACTATGACTATATATTTCATTGATGCTCTTTTCCTGAAGGCCCCAAAGCAACACAAGAGATTTAGAATGCACAATAATATTAATACATTTGTAATTCTTAGTATTCAATATTAAATGCACAACATTAATGCATTGACAAAGAAATGCATAACAAAGTACAGCAAAATCAAATCCAAAATTTAGCAACAAAATAATAAATAATCTGTTGATTTATTCTGGAGCCAAGGAAAATATAAATATGAAAGAAAAGAGGCCTTGAAAGAAGGCCATCTTCCATTTCTCTGCCAGATGTATCATATGACCACAAGAACTCAGGAACAGGAAGTTCTCTCTTAAAACTGCAATACTCTTTTCTTGCAATGCCTTATTAAACTTCAAAGCACTCTGTAGCCATAGTTTTTATTCAGCCATACTAACCAAAGGGTGGCACATGTGTAGATTGAAGCTTTGCAGAAAAAGCAGTCTGAGCTATGCTAGATAGAAGTAGGAGGTGGGAATGAGAGGGTTGGTACAAAAGAATCCTACTTAGCTTGTCTATCCCATGGAATTAAAGCACTGAATCCCCACTGTTGGGTGTGCCCTTTGGTTACCTGCTGCCTTGTGTGGATTCTAGCTTGCTGGATTAAAGCTTTTGCAAGAGAATCCCATGATTTTGGCTTGAGATGAATAAGAAATCCAGGAGACTTCCCACCATGGTATTGCAACACAGAGAAACCCCTGCTTTTAAATTCACCATTAATTCATGGAGTTAGGCAATGGCAGCAGCTGCTGTCCCAGGTTTCCAAGCTTTGTTCTAATTTTGTTCTCAAGGTCTGTAGCTAAGGAGTAACTTTTGGGGATGAGGAGCCAAAGGGAAAGGAGGAAAATATTTTTCCCAAATCCCTCCTAGGAATGAATCTCAAGGGAAGTTTAAGTTACATGGAGAAAAGGGCAGGCTTGGAGCCTGGCCCTTATCTTGCAGAGAGCTCAGTGCCTCCTGGAAGTCCCCTAGCCTTGCGGTTTGTTGACTGTGCTGTTGCAGCATCTTTGCTTGCCCTCTCTGAGCTCAGGAGCAACGTCAAAAGGGTTTCAGAATGCTTTGCACCTTAAACACTCAGACACTCTGCTTGATAAACAAATGATAAGTTTTATTTAAACAAGAAGCTTTTCTGCAGCTTTCATGCTGTGGCCTTTCTTTCCTCAGGCCAGAAGCACTGGGTGTTTCTCTTAACTACTAGCTGGTTCCTCCCAGGAATCACAAACCTCCCAGGAACTATTTGCATAGTTCCTTCATATTATTAAATCCTTCTTTTTGAGCAATAAAACAAACCAAATGGACTGGAACTTAATACACAAGTTCACATCTGTTACTGTTCTGCTCACTTGGGTTGTGTCTGGGTTCAGCAGTGACATCCCTTTCTTCTGCTCCCCTCTAGATCTAGGTAGCCCCGTGCTGCAGGCTCTTCTTAGGCATTCATCTCCCCTAGACTATCCTTAGGTGTGTGTCTGCTCTGGTCAGCACATGGCAAGGATTCCCTGCTTGTTTCATCTTGCAGTTCATTCAGATTCATGATATCACCTGTTTCTTCTGTTGTGTTCTTTGTCCATGTTACTTGTTCTTTGAGATCTCACCAGCAGTAGCACTTTGGAAGGGCCATCATAGTTCCCTATCTTCTCCTTTTCCTTTTTCTTTTTTTGGTGCTTCAAAAATGTGCAATCGGTGTTGTAATATTTTTTGTAGTTGGTCTTTTGCAAATGCACAGTTAAGTCTAGTTAATATTAGTATTGACATTAGGGGATTGCCTATTGGCTAATTTGCACACAGTTGCAAAAGACTGGGGGAGAAACAACAGTAAGAGAAAGGAGGGATCTGGTAGCCCAAGTCAGAACAACCAAAAATGTGGGGAGGGATAGTCCAAGGAGTAAGTGCACTAAAATGGGGCCACATGAAATAATCTCCTTGGCAATGCAATCCTCTTGGACATTGGCACTGCTCAATGCCCTCCACTGTCCAGCACTTTCTAAACCCTTTGGCTCCTCCAGAAAAGGCAGATATTATTTCCTTTTTGCAGTTCCTTTTCAGAGCTGTTACTGCTGAAATTACAGGGGTTCCACTGACAGATTTTTAAAAATTATACCCTGAGAATGCAGCTGCCTGGGGTATAGTGAATGGGGCCCCAGCTGTAAGTACTGCTGATGTGGGTGACATATTTTCTGTGTCCCATTCTACCATACTCAGATGGGTTTGTCTGTTTGTTTATTTGTACAAGTATTTGCACACATGAGTGGACTTTTGCACAAAATTTTGGAAAACTGGAAGGGAAATGTATGCACATTTAATGTCTGGAAAGTAACTGGAGGGGAACTTTGTGTACTTGCAGGAACAAAGCAATGAATGCAGATGCACAAATTTCCCCTCTTTGTTGTTCCTGTTGTTCAGCTGTTCAGTCATGTCAGATTTAAGCGATCCTATGGGCCACATCTCACCACACTTTCTGATCCCATGCCAGCTCTTTCAGCTGAACTATGCTCTGGCCCAGATCCTCTTTGATGGAGTCTAACCACCTTGCCCTTTGCCAACCTGGTTTTCTCTTGCCTCCGAGCATTCCAAGCATTATATCTTTTTCTAATGAGCTTGATCACATAATGTGGCCAAAATACGTGGGTCTCAGCTTTGTTATCTTGTTGACCAGGGATGCATCTGATTTAAAATGCTCTAGCACCTGCGTTCTTGACTTCCGCCATCCATGGAATGCACAGGAACCACAGGTTGAATGAGTCAATTTTCCTTTCAGCAATTACATTTGTGTACTTGTTGCCACCACTTTCTTTCCAATATTTGGATCTGAGTACATTTCCATGTTGCTTTTTTTAAACCATCATGGAACTGCAGGAACTGTATCAGCAACTGCTCCAAAAAGAGTCGTGCAAAGCTAGAGGAGTTAGTATCTTCCACTTTGGGCACAGCTGGAAAGTTAGGGAAATATTGAAAAGGTAGAGGACACTGAAAAGTGTCAGTTCAGCACTTGAAACTGGGAGAATCCCATCATCAAAGGGAGATATTGTGTTCTCACAACATCATTTTTGGTGAACTTGCTCTTTTGGCTCTTCCACACAAAAATTTTTGGGCTTCTGACTCAATACCAGGTCCCTCCTTTCTCTAACTGTCATTTCTCCCCCAGTCTTTTGTACTTTTATCACTTGTTTTTATGGATTGTGTAAACTGCCCAGAGAGCTTCAGCTGTGGGGTGGTATAGAAATGAAAACAACTGTGTGCAAATTAGCCAATAGGAAATCTCATGATGTTGATACTAGTGTCAGTTAGACTTAAGTGTACATTTCCAAAGACCAATAATAGCAACAACAAAACAAAAATTACAACCCCAACTGCATATTTTTGAAGCATTGAAAAGAGAGGAGAGGGGAGAGGAGAGGAGGGGAGGGGAGGAGACATGTGATGGTCCTTCCAAAGTGCCATTTAGACACTGTGGAAAGGCAGTCACTGGTGAGATCTCAGAAAGTGAGTAACATGGACTTTTTCACCACTCTTGCCAAGCAGCTGTGTCACCAATCATGGAAATCCATGATGGTCCCCCAAGTTTGGAAATCCATGATGATGGAAATCCCCTAATCATGGGAATCTATGATGGTTCTCCAATAGACAAGTCCTCTATTTGAAGAAAAGAACCACAAAGAAGGGACATCAGGAGTGGTTGGAGCTGATGTGAAGATCAGCAAGTACACTGTTTACAGTTTTTTATATTTTTATATTTATATCCTGCCATTTTTCCTTTCAAGGAATTTAAGGTAGCTCACATAATTCTCCTTCTTCTCTCAATCTTATCCTCACAACAACAGTCCTGTAAGGTAGGTTGGGCTGAGAGTCTAAGACTGACCCAAAGTCACCCAGAGAGCTCTATGGCTGAGGACTAGAACCCAGATTTCCTGAGTCCCGTCTCATAATGTTAACCACTCCACCACACTGGCTCTTATAGTTATTTCTAAATTTGTACCTATATGTATAAATTTGCATATGCATCTTGGCATCTCCTTGTGCTCTCTTTTTAGTGATGCATTTCCTCTTTTTTAATGTGCAGGTGGCTACTGTAACCTGACCTTCTCCTTCAATCTACTTTATACTTCTGTACTCTGCCAAATAGCCTGCAGAGCTTAACCCCTTCCTAAGACTAATAACCTCGGCCCCTATCCTGCAAGACTCCAGACTGTTATTCTTCCAGGCTTTATCACTCAGTTTTCAAGCCTGCTTTATCTCAGGGACTGGATTTCAGGAGACCTGGCAAAACTAGCTGGCACGGCTCTTAGACTCACAGCTATTTGCTTCTAAGCTCTGATCAGTTTGGATAACTGCACAATTTCAAAGCTGTTGCAAAAGGTCACTTGCGAGCTTGTTTTCAGGAAGCTCTGCAACCACAAATTAAATTGGAGGTACATATTGTTATGCCTCTTCTTGGGACTGTCTAAATTATTCAGAGTTAATTGTAAGGCTTCCTGTTGACGGAGGCATTGTGTCCTTTTCCTTCTTGTTCCCCACAAGGCTAATAGCTTGCATAAAATCACTGTTTCATTGCTAAGATTCCCAAGGTCTGCAAAAGTTTAAACTGAGGTTACAAGGGAAATATCAAGCATTAGAGGTTAAAGCCTTTCTTCACTGGACTGCCACTGCATTCACTGAATGTCACTTAGAAGAAATATGATGTTCCTCCTCTCTGATTTGTCAGAAAGCAAATAGAACAGCCGGTCCAAAGGGGCCTGCAGGTCTGGTGGCTTCTTTTGCCACTGCTCACCCGCTCCTTAACTTTCCTCTTCAGATATGCAGTGCATCTATTGTTATTGTAAGCCAGCCAGGTATTTGTGCCTTCATGTTCTTTGGATTTCTTTTTCTTCCTTGCCTGCTTGGAAAATAAGGGTGATGTGCACAAAGCCTTGGTTGTGCAAGTGGATGGCCTAATGCCAGGGTCTCCATTATCGGTTTTAAATTCTAAAGCAGCTCTTGTCATTGTGTCAACTAATGTGCTGTTGTCCTGGGGCACTTTGATGCGTTCCACCTGAGGTGAACCTGGAGGAAATATCTACACCTTGTTGATGTTCTGCTTCTGAGTCTTGTTTATTCAACGCTTTCTGGAATGCAGCAGCAATGACCTCATCTTCACTTCTTGTAAGACCTCTTCTCATCCTCAAGAAGGATCTACACCGGTCTTATGATGATTCACACAACCAGCTTAAGGGATCTGGATTTAGAATGACTGCTTATCAATTGTCAAAAAGGAGGGGGGCATATTTGTATAAAAATTGCCATGTGCTAATTTTTATGCAAAATTATGCACCCAATCAGAATTTAAATAGCAATGTAGTACATCTTGCCATAGTTACAAAGGACAGTGATGAAGGGACCTGTATGCCAGCTTCATCAGTCTGCTGTCCTAGCGATGGAAAACTATTCTTATGTGGCTTTTAAAAAACCTTTAAAACTGGAATTGGACAGGACTGCCCTTCAAACAGAGGACATCTTCAGAGAGAGTTCTCAGGCAGTTTTTCTCACAGAGGACTCTAAAACAGGACACATGTCCAGCCTATTTAGGTTGCAGGCAAACATGATTCAAGATGTGGTAGTCCATTGTGAGGTTTGCCCTGGGTCCTGGAGCTATCCTAACCACCCTCCAGCTATCCTAAAAGAGGAGAGATCTACCTTGAGGGCTGCCTCTGTTCTCATTTCAAGAAGAAACCCACCATTTTTCCTATCTGCTGAGTGCCAAAGAAAGGAAAACCCAGTGCTTCTTTCTAGGATCTCAACCTGGCCAGCGCTGTAGCAAGGAAAGGACCCATGGGGTCCTATCCCCATACTTAAAACATTTTAGGTCTTTTCCTAAATTTTCAGTATTCATTTCTTAAGAAGTCACTTAACCCCTTTTCTGTGTTGAGATATGGGTCATATTCCACCCAGTTGCTCAACAGAAAATAGTACGATTAAATACATTCCATAATCCCAAAAAGCTTAAGGTAACTATATTTAGCCAGTGTGGCATAACGGTTAGTGTGCTGGACTGGGACTCAGGAGACCTGGGTTCTAGTCCCCTCTCAGCCATGAAGCTCAAGGAGTGACTTTGGATCAGGCACAGATTCTCAGAGCCCTAAGCTACCTCACAAGGTTGTTGTGGTGAAGATAAAATGGAAAGAATATTGTAAGCTGACTTAGGCTTCTTGCAAATGTGGTATAAATATAATGTTAACATCTTTCTGTTGTAGCTACTTCCCACCAGCACAAGCCACCTGACCACAACATTCCTGGGCTGAACTGGTTTTAGGTGTGAATTTAAGCAGCAGAAATCAATTATTTTTCCCCAGTGGATCAACCTTTTCCTTAAGTATAATCTGTTTTAAAATTCAAAGGTCTTCTTTACCTTTAATAGTGCTGTATAATATCAACATTTCGGTAGGCATCACTTGTCTTACAAGCCTGAGAAAAGCTGAATCTGCTGAAATATTCTTTTCTGCATGGCTGTAACAGGTACTGCAGTTGTATACTACTTTGCACTGGATCATTACAAACCACAGATTGATTGAACCCCATTCAAATCAAAGGTAAAAACTTATTTTCAATGCAATTAATGTAAAATGTATATCACTTACTCATCTTCTGAAAAGGGCTTCCCAGATATGATGTTCTTTGTCCCAGGTGCATAATTCCAATCAATTTCTACAATCCCAAAGTAGTATTCTCTAGTTACTGCATAGGCTTGTGAGCAGAAAAATGCCAGCAAGTTGCTTAATAGGAACAGCTTCATTTTCTGGCCCTTATTGGTACAGCGGATTAATGAATGAGCATGTTCATTTTATAAGATCAGGTTCTCCCCCTTTGCTTGCCTTTGCTTAGTTCAATAGAGCGAAAGGTTGCACAATGTCTGTTAGAATAAACACGGCCAAATTTGATGCCAGTAACTTAGGCAGCCAATGGCTTATTCTAACCCCACGTTTGAGAAACTTTCCCAATCAAAAGGATGAAAGGGCCCCTGCTCTGGTGAAAGCCTTTGGGTTCTTTCCCAATGCAAAGGCAATGTCCATTTGTTCCTTGCACTAAGTACAATAAAATTTTCTGCATTTCACAACATGGCAGCTTTTCCATTTTGTTTTCAGGCTAAAAGACACACAGACACAACTGCCTTTCAGTCAATTATAGATTATTATTAATATTGTAAAATTTCAACAGAAATACTAATTTCCTTCTTTACCCAAAATATAAAAGTTTTTTTTAACGTAATTTGTTCTACATTCCCGTTTGTTTGGCATTCATCATTTCTTAACCAGTTAATTACATGAAACTAGATTAAGGATGTCCAACCCCTCTCAACCTGAAAGCTGAATTCAATTTTGGAGAAGTTCTTGAGTGCTACATTCCAGGAATGAGTGGTCCCAAAGGCAAAAGGGGCAGGTCAAGCATACTCCTAGTGGCCTGTGATTCAGAGTTTTTCTACATACAAGGCATTTACTTGTACTCATGATTCTTCACAGTAGTTTGTGGTGCTTTACATGGCATCTTCTGCCTCCCATGATTATCAAGCATTTTCATCTCTTTTTTTGATCAAGGAAAGTCTGGTATTATATAACAATTGTGCTATAAGAAGTTTGTATACTTTTGCAGTTTTGCTTTACTGCTCACTACCTTGTGCTTGTGTAAGAGAACATAAGAAAGAAAGAAAGAAAGAAAGAAAGAAAGAAAGAAAGAAAGAAAGAAAGAAAGAAAGAAAGAAAGAAAGAAAATAGAGAGTGATTTTAATCCTGCAAAGAATCCTGAATGCCTTGGAAAAGTGACAAATGAAAAGTTTCATGTAGCAAAGCCCTACATCTTCAGAGAGGCTTTACTTCAAGATTTCTGGGATTAGAAAAAAAAGTTATACCAAAAACAGGAAATCACAATTGGAAATCATGGAACAGAGGCATAGCTATCTGGCCCTAGGAGCCCTCTAGGGTCAGATAGAGGGTTCAATTAAGACACCAGGTTAGCCAGATGTGGTCATGAGCATAAGATTCAACTTGCCTGTGTGGAATAATGATGAGATATTCCACACTCACCATTACTCTGAGAATTGTATGCAGTTTTAAGATGAAATCCAGTCTTTACACCCATCAAGATGACTGTTAAAATGACTTTTTGAAAGATTGATATAGTGATGAATAGAAAGTTCTCTTTGGATATATGGGTATTTTTATTATTCCTGTCAGGTTAGCAAATGCTGGGAGCTGACTGGGAAATGATGGGTAGAACTTTTTCTGCCTAAACATGGAATTGTTTCTTAAAGATAAGTTTAGCTGGGCAGGCTCTAGTCTGAGCTATTCTTCCTGATGGCTCTATTCAGCTACATATACCAGTTGCTACAGAGATTGTGGGAATGTTCCCATCAGTAGCTAGTTGGCCAGTGTGCAAACAAAATGGTGGACTAGATGGACCCTTGGTCCATGGGAACAGATACAGAGAAGCATTAGTATGCCTCCCATCTTAGCTTCTCCTCCTCTCTCCTCATCCACTTTCCAATCTTCCTGTCCTTTTCCATAGCCATTCCTCTCACCTCTAAAGGAAAAGCCACTGTAGAAATTTCTGTAGCAGCTGACAAATGGGAAAATCTATAATGGGATCTCTTCCTCCACGTACCTGCAACTTTCTAAGAGCATGGAGGTAATCTGCAGCATCCTATTACCCCTGTCAAAAGATCATAACATTGATCTGCTTGATCAATCTTCATCTGCTTGATCTCTCTCTCTCTCTCTCTGTATCTGTAAATACTTGCAGACCATCTTGAACTTTATACTATGTTCATTCAAATAAAAATCTTCATTCTTTGTTTTATAGTTGACCATAATATTTTAGCCTGACCTGTTTTTTTAATTGTCTTTATTAGCATTATTAATGCTCATAACATTCTTTAGAATAACAATGTGACCTTTCTCTTTCAGTAACTTGACATTTCCTTGCACTTAATTGGCTTGCTAACCCTTGACATCTATTCTCCTAGCTTGGATAGATCCTTTTGGATCGGCTCATAATCCCTTTTGTTAATTACCCTAAATAGCTTGGTATCTTTCACAAACCTGGCCACTTCACTGCTTACTCCTAATTCCAGATCATTGATGAATAGGTCAAAAAGCCTTGGTCCTAATACAGAATCGTGTGGGACCCCAGTGGTTACATGCCACCATTTGAAGAAATTGACATTTATTTCCACCCTCTGTCTTCTATTCTTTGACCATTCTTGATCCATAAGAGGACTGCCCCCTTTAGTCCATGACTGCTAAGAATTGCAGGAGCCCTTGGTGGGGAACTTTGTCAAAAGCCAAGTAAACAATGCCGATTGGATTGCCCCTGTCTACATGCTTACTGAAACTCTCAAAACATTCTAATTGGTTGGTGATATAGGACTTACCCTTGCAGAAGCCATGTTGATTATTTTTCAGCAGGGCTTTTCCTTCTAGGTACTTACAGATTATATTTTCAACAACACTTTCAAGCAAATTATCCAGAACAGATGTTAAGCTATCTCGCCTGTAATTCCCCAGATTCTCCCTACATCCCTTTTTAAACTTGGTGTTACACTGGTCATTCTACAATCCTCTGGTACAGAGGCTAATCTTAGGGGCATATTAAATATTTTTGTAAGGAGGTCAGTAATTTCATATTTGAGTTCTTTAAGAACTCTGGGATGGGTACTATCTAGGCTGGGTGATTTGCTGACTTCATTTTGTCAAAAAGGTTGATGCCTTCTTTTGTCCCTACTATTTGCTTTAATTTCTCTGTCTCCCTCCAGAATATACGAGCTCAGGAAATATATATGAGATCAGGAAAAGGTATCTGTTGTGAAGACAGATGAAAAGAATTCATTCTGCTTTTCCGCAATCTCTCTGTCTTCCATTAGTGCTCCTTTAATTCCATTATCATCCAACAGTCCAGCTGTCTCTCTGATTCTTTTCTTTCTTTTGATATATTTAAAGAATTTGTTATTGTTGACCTTGAGGTTGTTAACAAAGACAGTGTTTCTCTAATTGTCTGCTTGCTTCTCCCTTGTGCAAACTTGTGTTCTCTTTTGTTTTCTTGATTGGGCAGCATTTCCATTTCTCAGAGAAGCTTTGTTCTCTCTTCTAGCTTCCTTGACCTCTTGGAATTTGTGCTGTTTCCTCAGTTGTGGTATGCACGATTTCTGTGCCTCTATTATAGTGGTTATGAGTAATCTCCAAGCGTTTCGGGGATTTAACCCTGTTGACTCTTCTGTTCAGCTTCTTTTTTACCAGTTCACCCATTGTTTGACTCAAATGCAACTGTGTTCAATCTCTTTAGCAATCATCTGCCCAACTGTATAGAAGTAAAACCAGCTTCTAACCTTAAAAAATTCACTCCATCTTCTACTGTTTTTACTATTATAGGACTGTATTCAATAGGCAGAAGCAGCTCCTCCCACCAAAGCCACGGTGCAAGCAGCCCCTCCTGCTGATTCTGTTGTGCAAAGGTAACGTACTGCTCGCACAGGGGAGATTTAATGCTTGTACAGGACTCCCCAGAATAAGTGGAAACACCAGCCTGCAAAGTTCCCTGTGTGAGCTCCACCCACCTGCCTTGTTTTCACTAGCTTCCAGTTGCTCCTGGAAGTGCTAAATCTCCATCGCACAAGCAGTGGCTCTGACTTGGGGAATGAAATGAATGGGAATGCATTAGCAGCCGTTGCATGTTGGCCATAGAATTAGCAATGGTAGCTTATGATAAATTGGAAAGACAATGCCAAATTGTACTGTATAATATCATTTCTCAGTGTATCTGTTAAGAATGGAAGTTTACTATTTTTGTAAAATAAAAGATTATCAGTTAGGAAAAATCTGTCTTTAGCCGTTCATTCCAGGGTATGAGTTTTAGGACAATGCAGGATCAAAGTAGTAGAAATAATTACAACTGTTTGGTTTTTTTTAACAAAATGCCCTCCTTCTTGCTTTGTCACAGGTAACTGTGCATGCAGGAGCTGCTGTAGGACTGAGGAGGACTCTGCCAAGGTGCCATCTGGTGCCCCCCATCTCCATTAGTGGGCTGATGTTTATCCAGGGTGGTTGCTCAGAGATTTATCTGAGTTGCTAATGTTAAGTTGTCCTCATAAAAATTATAGTCCTGGAATACAGAAATCTTTGCCTCCCTTACTTCACACACCCTTTCCCACCAAATCTGCAGGGTTTTTCCAGATTTTTCCAGACTCAGGTCCTTTCTGGGGTGGGGGTTGAGACTAACCCCAGGATATGTGAATATCTTATCCCCACAACAACAACCCAGTGGGGTAGGTTGGGCTAAGAGTCTGTGGCTGGCTCAAAGTCACCCATTAAGTGGGGACTCCATGGTTAAGCGGGGACTGGAATCTAGATTGCTAGAGTCCCAGTCCCAGTCTCTTAATCACTGCATCCCAATGGCTCGCATGGTCATCCCACTGTTACCAATTGCTCCCTTGGCTGACAGAGATCCATTTGGCAAGACAGCAGTGCTATTTTCCACTTCTCCTGTTCACCGCCATCATTGTCAGGGCCAGGACAAGAGGCAGGTGAAGCAGCGGGCAGCATTGGCAAAAAGGAGAAGCAGCACCAGGGGGTTCTTACTGGGAATTCAAGCAGGTGCCAGGCCATGCATATAGCTGATGCCCACCCTCTCCATAAAACGAATGTTCCCGACTTGTATGTGGCCAGCATTACAGACCAATGGCCCATCTGCTCCAGAATCTCATTAGCCACTGGGACATCCTCATTGTGAAGGAAAATGCAACCTTTCAGGGACCCCTTTCATTTTGAAAAAGGCACAATGGAGGGACATATTTATGCACGGTGCTGAGAAAATAGATCAAGATAAAAACTTCTCTCTTTCTCGTATTACTAGAGCTCATTTTTTTTCCCATTAAATGGATTGCTAAAGGAAGTGATTCTTCACATAGCATGAACTTTATGGGATTTGCTGCCACAGGATGTGGTGGTGATAACCATCTGTATGGCTTTTAAAGGGGATTCGGCACTTTCATGAGACCAAGGCTGCTGTATTACAGACACTATGAGATATGCCATGTTGGTGAACAAATCCAGCCTCCTGCTGCTAGGAAAGACCAGACATCCCCCCTCTTTTCCTCGGAATGCACCAACAGTTGCTTTTGCTCAAGGTGATGAGTGTGGTACAACTATTTTAACATAGCACTAAAAGCAATATTACATGCTAGACTTCCTCAGTTGGACCTGGACTGTCACCAAATGTCCTATATCTCTGCACCATTTTGAGAATTCACTTCCTTTCCTGATTCAGATCCATTTATAGGGTGTATATACATCTAATGGAGTCTCAATGGAAGTATGAAGTTGCACTTCTAAATATCAGAAGGAACCCGCCCCCTGCTTTGAGGAAATGAAGCTCACTGCACTACCTCACGCCTTGCTGAAAGTCCAAGGCCGTTCATTGCAGTGCCTCTGTGTGTTTTTCTGAAAGCATTCCAGGCAGGTAACTAGGTCACTCATTTGAAAAATCTATCAGATAGTATCAGTTGGATTTAGACTTTATCATACATAGACCCAATAAAACAAATGGTGCTTAAGTTAATCCCATTGATTTAACTGGGTCTTTTCTAAGTATGCCTAGGTCTGATCCAAACTCTTGTATACATTTCTATTGAGTTCCAAAGATCATTTTGAAAAGCAAGTTGAAACACTTAAGAAAAGCACTGCTATAACTGCTGATTATTCAGAGCTAGCACTGACTAGTGCATTGCCATTCAGAGCCAGTGTGGTGTAGTGGTTAAGAGCATGGGACTGGGACTCAGACGATCTGGGTTCGAGTGTCCGCTCGGCCATGGAGCCAACTGGGTGACTTTGGGCCAGTCACAGACTCTCAGCCCAACCTACCTCACAGGTTTGTTGTTGTGAGGATAAGATGGAGAAGGAGATGGAAGCTGCCTTGAGCCCTTTGTAGGAAAAAGGCAGGATATAAATCCAAAAATAAAATAAAATATAAAAATAAAAACTAAAGACAATTCTTTCCCATTGCAGAAAATGGGAGAGGCACCCAGATTAATATCTGACAGTGCAGAGCTGGGCCAAGCCATTTTGCTGGCTCAGTTGGTTCGCCCCCACCCCCGATTCCTCGCACAGAAATGGACTCGACTGCTGGACTGGGATGTAGAGCTTGCTTCCACACTGGCAGAAGGATAGCCTCCTGCAGCATGCAGATTCCTATGAACCAAATATTTATTCATGCACCATCCGTGATATATTACAGTACTTTATAATATGCAAATACAGAAGGCCGCAAGACAGGGGTCTCGCATTTTAAATAGGGAAGAAACACAAGGAAGGTAAAAAGAGAGAACAAGAAAGTGCAGTCATACCAAAGACTGTGCACTTGCTCAGAAGTGTGTGAAGCACTGTAAACCACATGTGGAAAAAGGATATAGGAGTTACTTCCTATAAGCCACAGAAATGTGGATGAATGTGTAAAAAGAACTGTAGCAAAGCAAATAAAACACTTAACACCACCCTAATATCAACCACATCAAAAATGTATGATGGCATGTTCGCTTTTCCTTTCAGATCAGTGCAGGCTGTAGAAAAGAACAGAAAAAGGTCAGATGTAACATGGAAATGCTATGATTGATGAAGCAGAACTTGGTTTTGTTTAACCTCTGGAGTCTAGCATTATTGCTGATTGCAGTAGTTATAATACTCCTAGTAATTGTCAGGACAAAATGAGCAAAAGCTTTGCCATAATATGGCTGCTAACAGCCTGACACTGTCAGAACAGCTTTAGACTTAAGATGGGATTCCTGTTCTGATCAGGAAACCATGTTGCAAGTCAAGCTTCCCATATACACCTTAGAGATGCTAAGCTTGTGGAGGTATACTCTTAGGTACGCTAATTGTTTACTCGTCCTGAAAGTTCTGTATTATGTTTTTCTAATCCTATTCAATCCCTTCTGTTTTATTCTAATGCGCATCTAGCATACTGTGTGCATGATCCCCCACCCCTCCTCCAAACTGTATGTAATAGATATATCATAAAAGCTTCTTGTACAGGCTGCACCTTTGTAGTCCCTTTGGGACTGCCTGCATGCCACATATATTTCCTGTACGTCTGAACAAACTGCAAATGCTCTTCTGATTGTACAGCCCCAGCTCAAAGGGTGGCCTTTTTCATTCTTGACACCATATAGACATAAACAGCATTGTAGGAAGTTATCCAACTCAAATCTTCCATTTTTCCCCTCAACAGAGAAGGGCCCTTAGTCACATCATGTAATAGGGAGAACGTTAGAGTCTCTGTTAGAGTCTTGTTTCATCAAAAGGCAGCTTTTGAGATTATATTGTTACCTGCACAAAAACAGGATAGGTCCCACATAGTATCCGCTTTAACTCTGCAATCACTTTCAGACAGCATATCAATATCTGTAAGCCGCTAAGAGTTATCAGGATAGAAAACAAAATGATGTTCCATTCCACTATATAAGCTGGTTCAGAGCATTGAGACCACACAGTGGGATCCATGAGATAACTATCAGAGAAACAGCAACATAAGAATGACTATTGTTATTGGATAAAGAAGGATGGAAGGTTTACTACCCTTTCAGAATTACTAGCCCCATTACTCCTCCTTGTCCTATCCAGTTGTGAGGAAAGGGAGAGGGTCACCTACGTAACTATACTTCTGCCACCTTGAGACTATCACTTTGGGGTCTCCTTGGGGGTGAATGGGCCTCCCAGAGTCCAGGCTACCTCTACCAAAGCATTGCTTTGCATGCATCACCAGCCCCATGGACACACAGTAACCGTGGGACAATGCTGTGCATGCCAAAATACCATCTGCATAAGGAGCCACATCTTCATGTGCACCTCAGCTGTGTCACACCAAACCACCTGTTTACTTTGTAAACAGAATTGCATGGGGCAGACACCACTACATAGCCTTGTCTAGGCTCGACGTGTCCTGGGTTGGAATGTGTTTAGAATGGGCAGAAATGATGAGCTGTGCAGAAAAGGCTACTCAAGGAAGGCTTCTTCAAATTCACCCACTTTTCCATGGTATTTTACCCCTATATTAGGGTTAGGGGAGTGCACCAGGGTAAGCTTAGGCCAATGGTGGCGAACCTATGGCATGCGTACCACAGCGGGCAAGCAGAGCCCTCTCTGTTGTCATGCAAGGCAAGTCACCCCAGCATCGCCCAACAGGTGAGCATCAGGTAACAGCGCACATAGGGGCCATGCACATGCTCAGAAAGGAGTAGTGGCACCAGGCGATGATGTCACGAGCTGTGACTCATTAGCCATGACTCTCCCGAGCTTTTGCATGGCCACTCAGTGCACTGCTTGGACTGGCTGTGAGGTGTTTTTTCTAAACTAAAACCTCAGTTTTCTGGTTTTATTGTAGTGTTGGCACTTTGCGATAAATAAGTGGGTTTTGGTTTGCAGTTTGGGCACTTGGACTCTAAAAGTTTTGCCATCACTGCCCTAGGGCTTCTAACCATCAGGAAGTACTTCCTGGCATCTATCCTAAATTTTAGTTCCCTGAGATTTGATCTATTGGAATGCATCCTGCCCTCCTCCGCAGGGGAAAACCAGTCTCTGCCCACCTCCATGTGACACCTCCTCATGTACCTATATGTTGCCAACAGATCCCCTCAGACTCTCCTCCAGGCTGAAAAGACCCAATTCCCTCAGTCTCGCCTCATATGGCTTTCCCTGCAATCCGACCACCATCCTTGTGGTCCTATGCGGCACCGTTTCTAACCTGGTTATATCTTTCCTGTAATGTGGAGCCCGGAACTGAACACATTACTCCAGTTGTGGGTGCACCAGAGTGGTGGTAATATCTCTCTCGATCTAGAAGCCACACTTCTGGCTGTGCAACCAAGGGTGGTGTTCGCCTTCTTGACTGCTGCATCATACTGCTGACTCATGTTTAGCCTGAAGTCAACCAGTACCTCAAAATCCTTTTCACAAGTGCTGCCCCCCAGCCACTTGTCCCCTGACCTGTACTTATGACACCCATTCCTATGCCTCAAGTGCAAGACCTTGCACTTATCCTCATTGAACACCGTCCATTTCCATAGTCTGTCCAGATCCTTCTGGATCTGGAGTGGCTGCTCCTGAGATGAGATGGTGTGCAACACCAAGTGCACATGCAAGAATATCGGGCATAGCACATCTCTGTAATGAAAGCTGCCCCTTAGAGAAAGTCGTCTTTCTTACCTTCCTGCGGTATCTTTGAAGGGATATTCCCATCCAGCTGGTGTTCTGCAGTATGGGCCCTGCACTAAGCCCAGTGCTGATATGATGAGACTATATCCAGAGAATGAGATCCCTAGCAGGGCAAGCACAACTGAAATGAAACGCTGCGTTAAAGAGAGCACAATGTTACCTCTACGAATGTAACACGAGAGCCATGCTGGGCCAGGCCAGACCCGTCTAGTCCTCCACTCTGTTCTCAAGATGGCCAATCAGTTGTCCTCATGGGATGCCCACACACAGAACCTGAGTGCAATGCCCACTTATGTTCCCAGCAATTGCCACGCTGGAGGCAATATATAGCCATGAAGACTAGGAGCTATCTTTACAAGAACGAAATTTCATTATCTCAGTCATGGGAGAAAAGCTGCTATTTCAGCTTACAAAATGTTCTCCTTAGTTATACCTTTAGCATAAATAAGAGCAGATAAAGCACAGAAATTACTCACTGATTGGAGAAATAAAAAGCAAGAACAATATGCTTTAACATGCTTAGAGTGCATGTCAACAAACTGGCAATAATATTTCTGTCTGGAGGCAATATCTGCTGTTATAAAAATACATTTTCACCTTGTCAGAGAACAATTGTTGCAAACTACAAGAGAAGTAAATTACTTCTTCTTATCCTTGTCCTAACTCAACTTCACTTGCAAAAATGTACACAGTGTCCTAATTGGAGTTATTGTCAATAAACATAATTGTGGACACAGCTTAATACATGGTTTTATGGAACAAAAAACAAGATGTAAAAAAGTGTTGGTGAATTATCTTGAAGTTCATTAGCTTTAGGCTATCACTGCTTTTTTTTTCTTAATTACACCTCAAGAAGTCAAATTTCAAGAGCCAATGTTCACCTCTTTCATTCCTAGTATGTTAGTTAGAAACTTCAAATGTTTCTAATTGTGCCAAATTTGGGAGCTGCTTTCCTTCCTGATATTGATATTAAGACTTAGTATTTATATAGTACTTTATTGTGTGTCACATACTTTATATCAACAATCTTGTGAGATAGCTGTGTGCTGTTATCTTTGTATTGTAGACACAAATCTGAGGCTGAGAGCTAGATACATTTGCTAAATCATGGTTCATACAAGATTTGAATCAGGAATTCCTGGGTTCAAAAAGGAAAAAAAACCTGGAATTCCCAGTATGCTGTAGCCAGCACCCTTAATCACTGTTCTGTGCTAGCTGTCTTTTAAAAATGATTCTTCATTCATCCATTGTCGTCTTATCCCTTCATTTCCAATGGCCAAATATCCCACAAAGTTACCTTTCACAACATTAAACAAAGGAATTTCCAACAGTTTTTTTGCAATCCCACAGTGAAATCCACAAGCACGTATACTCACACTGCGGTTTTGCCATAAGTGTGTGTGTGTGTGAGTGAGTGTGAGTGTGAGGGAGATGGGGAGAGAAGCAACAGTGAGGTGCTCCACGGAGGTGGTCCTTCCCAGGAGTGCCCCCTCCCCTCTTCTGGAATGATCCTCCCACTGAGGCCAACTTAGAACCAGCACTGTCCTTTGCAGTACCAGGTTGAAAGTGCTCCGTACTCCCAGGCAATTAATGGTACATGCTAACTCTTTTAACAGGTCTAGTTTTATTTAAATTGTTTTAATTAGTTTTAAATATTTTCAATTGTGTATATTGGAAATTGACACCATATTTTATCACATTGTCGTTTTATTGTGTCTGTATTTACTTTTGTACCAGTGTGGTATAGTGATTAAGCGTGTGGGACTGGGACTCCGGCGGCCTGGGTTCTAGTCCCCAGTCACCATGGAGCCAACTGGGTGACTTTGGGCCAGTCAGAGACTCTCAGCCCAACCTACATCACAGGGTTGTTGTTGTGGGGATAAGACAGGCAGGAGGAAGAGAATGATGTCAGCAGCTTTGAGTTCTTAAAAAAAAAAGCATTGGGAAATAAATCAAATAAATAAATAAATGTTTTTAAACCACCCTGAAAGCGTGATTTCTATACCACCCTATTAGGTGGTATAGAAATCATATTCTTCTTTTTCATCATCATACATGTCTATTTGTTTTTATTAGAAAATACCAGCATTTATTACAAAAGGCCCAAGCAGCCTACAAAGATGACACAGAGTCAAGTGTCACAAGGACCAGAGTAAAAGGAAATGTGGAGTGGAGGGAGAAATGGACTTGCAGGCATCACCTTAAGGAACTTGCATTGCGGAGTATGTTGATTGGCTGATTAGGTCAGTCTTTCCTAGCCTGGCGCCTCCCAGATGTTTTGGCTAAGGTTAGGTATCAGTTAAGAATTCTGGGAGCTGTAATCCAAAACATCAGGGGGGCACCTGCATTAGGTGATATGTCATGAGCTGATTTAAAACAGAGCCCGACCAAATGAGCTTTGCTTTTGTGCTTCCTTCCCTATTGATTTACTTGGCTTAGAGAGATGGGAACCTGAGGGAGGGAGGAGTTGGCCAGGATCCGAGAGTATTTCTGTGGACACAGATAGCATACCAAAAAGAGGGAGAAATGGTTTCCATCTATTTGAAAGTGGTAGGTAGGGATTCTTCCTGTTTTTGTTTTCCCTCCCAGATTTGCTGTAGAGATGAGAGGGAAAAGGTCTTTTTTTATCTCCAGTATGGAGCAAGGAAGGAAACAGGAGCAGGAAAAGTCAGAAGAGTCAAAGGGAGAGGAAGTGTTTTGCTTTGTTTTTACACAAAAGTGTGATGCATAGAAGCAAGATACTTACCCTGTATGTTTTGGTACAGCTCTCATTTTGGCAGCATGTATGGAAGGAATCCTGGTCCAGGATTATTAAAAGTGCTGCCAACATAAGCATCTGCAAGGACAGGAGTGGAAATCACAGAAGATACTGAATCCAGTCAAGTTAAACCCATACAGAATCATTTTTTAATCTATTATATTTGGGCTGCGATCCTGTCTTTGTCTTGGAGCACTGCAGAGCCTGTCTGCAACCTCAGGGAGGGGGATCTGCTCTGCCCTAAGGCCCTTTTCTTGGCAGGCCTCCATTTCAATACCAGGACAGGAAATGTGCCTGCCTGAAAGTCTGGAATTATACTCAAAGCACTGGGCAATCACATACTGGAGGAACATTATGCATGAATAATCAGAAGCTTAAGAAATGATTAGAAGATATACATACATCAATCACCATATCACTTCCCTTCAATATGCAACCTGTGAGTGTCCCTTGGTTCCAATTCTCATACTGAAAATGCCCAGTAGTTCCGACTTGTTTGTACTGGGATAGCATTTTGGGTGGTTCATAAAGGAGCAGAAAGACTGTTCCAAAGGAAGGGAAAAAGGTCCTTGTACATATCACAGGGTTGAGAAATGACTGCTTATCAGGAGATGGATCACTTTCAGCAGATATTCTAATTTACAGGGAGATTTACATTTAATAGAATGGGTATCCATGGGAATTTTTAGCTAGTTTCCTAGCCATGGGAAGGAGTTTTGGGGAGCAAGTTTTGCCCTGGGGAAGAAAGGGATAAACTTCCCCTCCTTGCACATTGGAGTCCAAATAACAATCAGACTGGAACTTAAAAATAAATTAAAAAATTAATTTAATTAAAAATAAACAGACAAAATTGTAGCTACAGCATGCATGATGTGTTGTTTGACCAGGATGATTTCTTTGGCCTTGCAGGCACATATCATATCAACTGGATCTGAAAATGTTGGCTAACTCAAGCTGTGTGCTGCAGACTCGTACCCAGTGATGTGGTTTTTCCCAGCATGGTGCTCTTCATCTGTGTTGGACTGCTGTATGACATGGTCTGGAGATGATGGGAGTTTTGTCCAGCACATCTGGTGGGCACCCTGTTAGGGAAGGCTGTGGCCTACAATTAATTTTTGGACCAATGCAAACATTAGTCACAACAAAGTACTCTCGTTTACGAGATGTCAATCCTACCAAGTTCATTGAGCTATATTTTCAGAAAATATTGTAGCTTTATGTGAATGTGCACTTTATTTCCACTCATCTGAGCTGCTTCTAATGGGTCTTCAGAAGAGAAAATCAAGATAGCAATACTCAGAAATAAATACACTGTTAAAGAATCAATTTCTGTAGGACTTAGTTCCACCTAATGTTCACCTGGATTGAGCACACTGTCCATATGGTGGCATGTCTGGTTTCTAGCACAAATTTGTGAAGTTTCTCATTCATCCAAGCACATGTCAGATGTCAAATCAAGCTTACAAAGTTCACACCCCAGGCTACTTAAGAGTAAATGCTTTTTGGTGCTGGGGGTTTGGGCTGCTTGAAGAAAAGTGGAGGTAAAAAGCATAAATAGTGCAGTTATGAAGCATAAAAGGAGGTGTATCTATCAATGTTTAGAACATAGAGGTGTCTAGCAGACTTAATTTTGGGCTATGGAGTATACATACTGTCTCTAAAATAAAGCCATTTGTTTGTTTCCTTCTACACACTTCTCATATTGCAAAATCAAGCAATCCTGTCATCATTAACATCTTGCTACAAGAATAAATAGAGACACCATTAATAAAAACCACAGAAACATCACTTACCATAATGCCAGAGAAACAGATTCCTTCAAAATACCACACATAGTTGGTGAGATCATTGTTCGATGCATATAAAGATTTCCCATCCGGAAAATATAGCAGGATATTTATAACAATACTCCAAACTGCTAAGGGTATTAGCAGACAACTCAAACAGCCTCCACACTTTTGTAAGCCCATCGCAAAAAGGGCCGAGAAGGGTAGTGACCGACCTTCCTACCCTCTGCCCCCTCCCAAGCAGAGTTATCCAGCGCTACTTGCTTTCTTGTTTCAGTTGATTCATTTTGTATTTACAAGACCTGGTTGCCGGGATATCGTTCTTGTCAAACAAGTCCAAATAAAGGCTTTGCTGTCCATAGAACAATAGATAAATGCTACTAGCTGGAATTCTTGTCTTATCCTTGAAAGCAGGGGATGTGTGTGTGTGTTTTCTTCAGAGGAACTTTATGTCTATAGGGAATTCCCTGCTGGCCCAAGTCAGAGACCTCAGTCAATCTTAGGAAGGTATGCTTTACTGGGAGGAAACAGGAATGGATTACGTAATTAGGAACTGATAACTGTGTGTATTTTGTCTTGCTCACAGCACATTCATATTTAACTGAGAGGTGCCCATCCAAGTGTAGAGTCCAGAGCTTACCTGGAAACCACACACACTGACCTGGTATCCCGGAGCGTGATTGGAGGTTATTGGGAAACTAAACCAGTAATTTTTTATAGCGACGCTGTTTTATAAGGATAAGGCTGAAATTTGTTCCGAGTTTCAAGAGAACTGTATGAGTACGCTGAATATGGAGCTGCTCTTGACTTGCCTGTACACCCCAAAATACTTTGGTTCACTCCAATGATATTTCCCCCACCCTTCCTAAATGGAGACTAGGGAATAGTATATAAATCTTGTAAATAAACAAGAAATAAATGAGAATTTGTCCTGCAGACCTCTGTAAAAGTATGCATATTCTTTTACACTTGCATTATCTCTTGCATTATCTGGAAGCATCCTTCATCTTCATGTTCCTGTATGCTTTAATATATGGGTTACACTTTGGAAAATGCAAAAGGGCTTCCTTCCCCCACTCTAAAAAGTATTGCTCCTCTGTAGGATGAAAATATACCTAAGTCAGGACAGTGGTTGCCTTTAGTAGCAAGAATACAGCTTTTTGTTTTTTTAATTCTGTGAACTTGATTGCTGATTTAATGTCCTTTTTAGGGTAGTCAGGTCATGAGAATCCAGCAGAGTTTCCACAGAGTGCCTTCTTTTTCATGAGTTAGCCACGCTGAAATCTTGTGTCGAATTGTTCATATGCGTGGTGGCTTCATGTCCCATCTGAACTTGGCAGGGGGACTTTGGAAACAGCTAGAGAACCTCCTGGCAAGAGCAGCGATCCCATCCTGCTCCTTGCAACAGCACTGCCGTCCTCCTCCATCTCAGTGTGCTCCATCCCATGCTTCTAAAACTCAAGAATGCCAGAGGGTATCCTGAACACATGCGCCATGGTTTTAATTTTGTCTTGTTTTGTCTTCAGGCCTACAGATGAGTGCAGGAGTAAATATCTGTAGTTGGGAAATGTGTGCAGGAGAGAAGGAGCTCTCGGGGAGGGTGGCCGGGGGGACGTGTGCAAGAGCCCAAAAAGCATTCTTTGAAAAAGAGGTTGTAAACACCAGTGGACCAATTGCGGAAAGCGTGCTGACACAGGGACCAAAGACACTAGGAGTGCTGCCGCAGAGGTGTGTAGAATGCATGCCAGTAGCCAGGGGAGGACTGAGAGGGACCAAGAGGTGAAACAAGCCATAGGGAAGAACACAAGGGGCATGTCCAGTCTTGGCACACTAGCCCAATCAAGCTCGACAAGAATGGGGGGGATTGATTTTATTTTCAATAATATTTTGATCACAAGTAGAAGAACAATCAATCCAGAATTATGGTGCAGGCCCCTTTTGCATCCTTGCTGACCAGATAGCAGTGATGGAGGTTCGTTGCTTTGACATCCCTGCATGGATGCTGATTGGTTCATTTGAATTCCAGTGGTCCCCGTTCTTACCTGGGAGGCTGAGCTTGGAGACCTGGCGAGGGATCACGCAATCCCTGCACACATGACTTAGCTCAGGTTTCACTGATATTGCCAGGGCTGCTTGGGGTTAATGCAGGCCAGCCCCATGTGTCCTACAATAGCAAGCTGCTGAGCACTTGCCTACTGAGTCAGCAAGCAAACAAACAACCTATTATGGGTTATTTTCTGAGAGGCTTAGCGTGACATTCTTATTCACCCAGTGACTCATTACACTGCAGTTCCAGCTATTAGGTTGAATTTTTTTATTTAAATAAAAACATACTACTTCAGTTATTGGATACTATAGGGATGGTGGAAATGGAGATTTATTTAAAGCTTTTATAAACTGTCCCATTACTAGTGTCTCAGGACAGATTACAAGAGCACAGATAAAAATGGCACAGCAGGGTGATAAATGTCTGTGCTGTTGCATTCCAGGGGCCATAGGCTATTTTGGGCCCCACCACTCCTCACAAGACTGTAGAAAATCCTACAAACGGGAGAGGGGATACAAGATCAAGTGATTCCCCCACAGATGTCATGGAAAACACAGACTTTCCAAGGGCAGAACACTGACTGCAGAGGAGCTTGTGGGACCAGAAAGGAGGCACCAGAGGGGAAAGGCAAGGATTTGAAGCATCATATAGCCACTCAAGCACCCATCCTATCAACCAGTGGTAGGCTAGCTGGGTGGAATTAAAGGACTGTCCGGCCAGAATTTTGGTTTTTGAGGAAGAGGGGTGAAGCAGACACTGGCTCTGTTGTTCTTCCTGCCCGGCTGTGAACAGCTCTGGGGCTCCTGCCTCGCAGGTGGTCGCTATCACATCGGCTTGCCCAGTGAATTGGTTACAGGGGGTAAAGGTGCGCCTGTGTTGCATGTGGCAAAGAGAAGACACATCCTGTTTTTGCTGGACTACTGTTTGACCGGCTACTGTTTAAATAGCTATGTCCATTGCTCAATTTTATTCCTGGCCATTATCATAGTTGCAGTATATTCTCGGAAACGACCAAATTTTCAGAAGTCTTTGCTTGCCAAGAGGGGTGAATAACCCACCTGCCATCTGATTTAACCAAACTAATATTTTTAATTATTCTGAATCAGGCAAAAGGGAGATAAGGGAGCAGGAAAAGGACATCAAGACATTCTTCAGTTGAACTTCATCCCTCACTGGAAAATGAGAGAATAGGAAGTCCTACTCAGAGTCTACCTATTTGTTCTCCTATTCCCTGCCCATCGCTTTTGCCTTGTGCGTTGTGTCTTTCTGACACTGGAAGCCCATAGGCAGCAGAGGCTCTGCTAGGTTACAAAAGGATCCATGGCTCAGGCCCACAGGACAAAAATGACAACAACAACATACAAATTTGCACATGCTAATTTGTAAATGCAAATATTTATGTCCACACAGAAATAATTACTATCGTTTACATTTTATAGAAGGCAGGCCAATTAACCTCTTGCTTGCTTTCAGGACAGAACTGTCCTTCCTTAAAACTTACCTTCCATGTGCCCAAACATTTCCTTGGTCTTTTAGACCCAACTCCAGACAGGGAGGATGGCACATGGCCACCTTCATTTTTGGTTGTTTTTTAAATCACTGACATTATTAATCCCCAGGTTTCCCACTAGATCCATACACTGGAACTATCTTCATCCACTCAAGTTGCAGCTTTGAGCTCTTTTACTAGCAAGTAGGACTCCAGTCCTACACTTACCTGGAATCAGTGCCCACTGAACTCAGTATCAATCATTTCTTTTTAAACATGTCGAGGATGTTTCCCCATCCACAGATCTTTTGGAACCCCCCGTTGTTTCCCCATCACTTGTAATTTCTTACACCATCCCTGCTACTTTTTCTCACCCCACAGGTCCTTCTGGCCATGTCCAGGGTTGGCCCCCAAAAGCATCGTACTTTATGTGGTCCCCCTCTCCAACTTCAGTCAAGAAGCATAGTAATATACAAAGCTGGGCAACTTGTTTTGACCCCCAGGGCAGGAAATTTTGCAAGCACCTCTCCCTTCCCTGGAAGAGAAAATACTATAATAATAAATAGAATGATTATTTTTTCTGCTTTTTGATGACATCCCAGTTGTTCAGTTCTTTGAGACAGCTGCCCTAAGGCCACCCCAGTTTGTTAAAAGGGATGTATGGATGGGGAGAGGAGAGCATTGTTCTCAGGGCCTATGGATGGGGAGAGGAGAGCATTGTTTTCAGGGCCGGGGAGAGAAATCAGGCAGAAAGAGTTAAGGGGAGGAGTAGCTGGAGAGGAAGCACAGATAAGCAACATCTGCTACCCAGATGTTCAGGTGAAACATACATCATCACCACCACCACCACATTGCATTTATACGCCACCTCTTTTCCATGTGTGAAGCTCTCAAGGCAGCTTACATAGCTCCATTTTATCTTCACAACCAGAACCCAAGAAGAAATTTAGGCTGAAAGTGAGTGACTCGCCCAAAGTCACCAGGGAGTTTAATGGCCAAGCAGGGACTAGAACCCAGATCTCCCGGGTCCCTGGTCCATCACTCTAACCAGTACACTTGTGGCTCTCTCAGCAAAGTCAAATACAAATCACCATGGCTCCTTTACCTTTATTTCAGCAAGTGCCTTTTTTCTCAAGTTACATAAATAGAAAAGCTGCATAACTTTCTGTAGACTGGACTGACTCCTGTTATGCTGCAGTAAATTTGTGGATATTTAGGGTGACATACGTAAGTCATTTTGGCTTTTGAACACAAAAGAGCAAGAATTCCCTCCCACATTTTCCCTAACCTAGGAAAACTGATGGAATGAAAATCATGCACTCACTAGAATCTAGCAACATGGAATATGAAACAAGAGACCTGGAAAGGTGACTGCAGAATCTCCAGACACACTTAAGCAAGCCAGCAAACCTGGGCAAATCATACACTCATCTATTAGTTTGTCCCAAAGCCAGGCATTACTGCTCATCAAACCATTTTGCAAACAAACCCTCTTCTTTGTTCCCCTAACGTAAAGGACATGACAAAGCATCAGATGAGGAAAGCTTCTGGCACTCCATCTGCTACATAAGCAGCCAGTGTGCCTGCTCTTCCTCTTGCCACGCCTTGCTGAAGCCAGTGGCTCAGGGAACAAGTAGCAACTGGCTGTGACATCTCTGCAAAGGCAGGCACACACTGAGAATGCTGTCAGGTAACTTTGGACTCTGGATTTAATGAAAATAATGAGCAGGCTGTGAAAGGAAAGGTGGCAATCTCCCCAGTAGCTTAAAGGCTAGTCCTTCATACTATCCCGTTTGTTAGTCTGCTGGTAGAGTTAGTCCCACCGGCCAAGGTCTCCTAGGAACTGTAGGGTAACTGAGTTCAAGGAGAAGCTATTATGGCAGATGATGTGAACTGGTGTAGCTCTCAAGATCTGGAGCATGGCTCAAAAGATCTAGGGCCTGCGCCTGAGGGAGCCAGCTACTGACAGTGCTCACAGGAGGTATGGGGCAGGTGGCCACCCAGCGTCTGGGGCCCCAGTGCAAGATTTGGCACTCCAGTGAGCCACAGCCTGTTGCAAGCAGGAGCTATCTGGTAAGCCACTCCAGGTTTTTTTTTCCACTAAGGAGAGAGATAAAAATGCTTTATGGAATGATCCTATGGCCCCTAGACAGTGTCCAGGGGGACATAGGATAGCTCAGATTCTCAGCTCTGAGGCCAGAGACAGCATTGCTATCTTGGAGCTGGGGACTGGAACTCTTGACTCCACTCACCCAGACCCTCACGACCAGCATGGAAAAACCTGCACCAACTGCTCTCCAGGTTCAGAAAGGTGACCAAAGAGAAAGTGAGAAGCTGGCATTTTGCAGGGTGTAGGAAGGAGACTGGATAGACCACCAGCTTCCTTCCCTTCTCTTCCAAGATGCTTCAGCAGGATGGGCAAAAAAGCCCATCTGGTGAAAATGCAGGACAGGAGCACAGGGATGCAAGGATCGCTCCTCCTGTTCTGCATCTTGACTGCTTCATGCCCTTAAAGAAATAAGTAAGTGTTGCTTTTGAGAGGAGGGTTTTCCCAAATGAAACGTATCCAAAGAGGCAGAAAATACAGAGCTGAAGTCCTGGGGAATTATTTTATTGCATTTGATTGCAGTCCTCAGTTCCCACCCAGATTTTCTTTATTCTGGCTCTCATTTTCTTCAGTCCTCCACAGCCCAACTCCATCTGTCCTGCTTTTTTTGGTAGAGAAGCATAGGGCATTTAAGAAAGCACCTTTACTGTCTGTTAGGTATACACTTTCTAAAAATACTTAAATATACAGCAAGGATTATTTTTTAACCATGATGGATCCCTAATAAGGACACAATCCTATGCATGTATATGCATATCTCACAAAAATGAACATTACGAATGTAGTTATATTCTTATAAAAGTAAACTAAGAGAAAATTCTCACCTGACTGCACCAGCCAAGTTGAGTAATTATCAGAATGGAAGGGGCCATGATGTACTGAACTGTTGTGGAGCTGTTAAAGGTGAGGTGCCTCTCAGAATGAGAAGATGGCAATCCTAATTCAGCTCTGATTGGTTGAATACCCAAGGATTCAAAGCCAGACTTTTAAGAGCTAAGCCAGTGTTCTTCACTGCAAGGCCTGACAGCTCTCAGTCACCTCAGGAATGACTCCCCTGCTGTCTTACACACGCCCTTTGTGCAGTGGCTGCTCACTCCCAGCAAGAACTGTTCAGCTTTGCCTTGCGGGCTGCTAAAGGGGGCTTCAGAGGATGTCAGGAGGCCTGTGGCTCAACATCTAAAAGGTGACTTGGGCAGTGGTGGTGGTGGAGATGCAGAAACCATTAGCCAATTAGTTGTGGCAGGAAAGGACCCAAGGGTCAAAGAACAATATGATGGTTCGCTGCAGTGATGCACTGTGCAGGTGGTAGTGGGCGAAATTGCAGATGTGAGAGACACTGTGGAGCTGTGCTGGACCCTCTTGGTAGTGAGGACATCCACTCCGAAGCCGGGACCGAGCAAGCCTATTGAAATGTGGCCATCTGGGTGCTGGCTGGGGAAGCCTGGCTTGGAACTTGCGGAGAGCAGAATGGGGGTGGGGGGAGAGACCCCAAAGGCCCCTTCAGCAGAGTTCAGCGCACAACACTAGCACTTGCTTGTGGGGAGGGGAGGGGATCCCAGAGCCCACAAAAGGCCCCCAAGAGGCCCTGGTGTCGGTCAAAGTTGGCTGGAGACAAGTGGCCTGCTTGAAAAGTAGTGAAGAGCACTGAGCAAAGCACCTACAGCCTGGACAAGGAGGGGGTGAACCTGTCGGTTTCAGTTTTTCCCATGTCCATTAAAAAAAAAAAAAAATCTCAGGTTCTTTTTGTCACAAATTTGGAGAACTTTGCAAATTTTGGTAAATTCTTATAAGTGCAGAAACTAATTTCTCATCCAACCCTAAGTAATGTCAGGTAGCATTACCCAGGAGGAGGTACTGCTAACATCATATAAAACCTCTATGGGGGAAAATTAGTTTGAAAATACAGAATGAAAACCACCTATTCTGCTATGGAAATCTATGTTATGCAGTCATATGCAATCCTATACACACATACTAAGAAGTATGTTCCAATAAGTTCAATAGGGCTTCTTCCTAAGTAAATGAGAAAAGGATTGCAGCCTAGCTTATCTGTTTCTTGCAACCACAAGAAACTAATATTGTTTCTAACAATATAGTTGAGTTCCTGTATGTATGGGAATTAAAGGAAAACCTACTCGAGATGTCTGTTAAAAATGCCCTGTTAGCTACTAAATTTTTGAAAACAATGCTAGTCAGGACAACCAAATACTCTCTTAACAATAATTAACAGTGTATGCCATATAAAAACAAGTCATCAGTATATGAGTTTGAGAAGTCAGCTAAAAATACAGGCATAATTATAGTGAAGCATGAGATGATCTCAACCCACTTTCAAGTCTCAGGACTCTAGCAAGGGCAGTCCTGTAAAAGAAAAGAAAAAAGACATACAAATACAGGTCAACAGTATCCCACAATGTGCCATTCCTTTCCAATTGCATAATAGAGGTAGGCCAATTCAGGTCCCATGAATTTCCAGATCAGTTTCAACTGACCGTGCCTTGTTTTAGAGCAGATGTACTGATCCAAAGGGGGGAAACTCTTATTACTGGACTCTTTGGGATGTGATCCTATGGCCTCCCGTCATTGTCTGGGAGAGCTGTAAGATTCTTCAGAGGTCTATGACCGAATGTTGCTTGCACTCTGGTGGCTTATTCCCTGCCCTCCTTGCAGGTGGCATGGAAAGAACTGAACAGGTTAACTCCCCAAGAGTGGAAATGCTGAAAACAATGGGGCTTTCCCATTTTCCCGGTCGGCCTCAGCAAGGATCAGACTTTTTGGCCAGAGCTGCCACCAGGTGTTTCACTGAAAGGGGAAATTTTACCCACCTCAAGAAATACTGTTTGAAAATGAAATGTCACTAAAGGGTTTGTACGAAGGACCAGGCTGTTGTAAGACTAAACATGGAAGCTCTGGTGACTGCATATTTGCAAAGAGATAAATTAACTGCATGAGACAGTCCTCTTCTAATTCTTTTACTAACATGTCTGAGTAAATGCCACTTTTGTTTTATGTATACGCTTAACTCTCAACTTGCCACTCTGGTCTATGTTGGCCTTCAGTCTGGAGTGATTCTGTAGCTCCCGAACCAACATGGTTTTCATATGGACCTTTTCAGTGTATTTTATTGCTTTTTAATTCTTATGGTATGGTGCTTTGTGAGCTTTACCAAAAGGCAACCTACATGTTTAATATACTGCACAGGTACAGACTTCCAAATGACACAGACATAATAGCCACACTTTGCTTGCTGAGTCAGTTTGTAAAGCATTATGGGCAGTTTTGTTGTGGTAAAATAACCCCCAGGAAACTTTGGAGCACACACGTACCTCTTTGTGACCATGACACGAAGCACAGGCTCCTCCAAGACAGCCATATACTACTTGGACGATACAGAGAATTAATTCAACTGCACTCAGGACCAGCAAGATAGAGAAGAGGGTCACATTCCATGTCACTGTACTCCTTGGTTCTCCACAGTTGGGGTTTTGCAGCACATGCCTATTGCAACCAACCACAAGTATTAATTTGGAGCCATGGATATCGGAGAGGACTAGCGTGGTGAGGGGCTTAAGCTGCTCTGGAAAGCCCTCAGTACTGTTCCATTTTTCATTTGGTTTAAGGATGTGTGGTTTGAGAATTCCTAAACCGCAGCAGCATGATCATTATCATGGAGCCAGGATACACAACAAGTAATCTCTTCACAACATGGCTATTTTCCCCTGAAACAAAGCTATCTGCATGAACAAGTGCCTAAGCCACTAAGCTACAGTGACCAAGGGCACCTTCAGTCTTCTCTTTAGCTCTGTACGACTCTCAGTCCCAGTCCCTATAATTTAGAAATATTTTATATTACATCTCGGTTCTCACTGAGGTGGTAAACGAGTGTTGAGATGTACACTACAGACTGTAGCTGGGAATTCACATGACTGAAACATTCAAATTTTCTTCATTTCTTGTAAGCAGAGAACTAGATTTCAGGACAAACTTAGTCATTGCCCTGACATGCTAATCATCTGCATGCAGGGATTTTTTTTCCTTTTTGTATATATGGACATATGGCTATTCAGTCTTGTTAGTCCCACAGCTTCAGCCTGAACAGGTGAAGCTCAACTTCAGACAAAATATCATCATCATCAGTTTCATTTTCTTTTCTATACCACCCCACAATCAAAGCTTACTGGGCAGTTTACAACAGTCCCAGACAAATAAAAAACACAATTAAATTGCAGTTCAACTATCATAAAATCAGAAAAAGACATTAAAAGGTTTAAAACAGCTAAAACAGACAATAGCAAAAAAAGATTCTGCAAAACATCTGGGATGGGTAATCCCCTCAAGCCCCTTTATCACTTTACTGCAAACAAAATCTATGAAATGTTAAGGCAGAAATCTAGGGAATAAACCTTTTATTCAACAATCCTATACACAACCTAGAAGTAAATCCCATTGAATTCACTGGGCCTTACTTCTGAGTAGGCACACCTGGGATTGTGCTGTCAAGCACAAATTTACTGAGTACAGTGATTTGTATTTCACAGTTTATTTTCTTCCTATTATTATTACTTAATTTCTCCATAACTTAACAGTCAAAGCTGTTTGGACAGTTCACAAAAAATTCAAGTCACAATACAAAATAATGAAAAACATGATATAAAAATGTTTACACAAAAAGTTTAAAAATATTATAAAACAGTTAAATAGATACAAAAGTTCTCATCTCAATAAAATAGAGCCCATCATATCCATCAAATGCCCAGGAGTACGGACCTGGTGCCAGAAAATTAATGATACTGGATGCTCTAGCATGGCATTCTTCAGGGGTCTGTTCTACCTTCCCTCCCCGCTTGCTATTCAACATCTCATGAAACTGCTGAGTGAGGCCATCAGGATGCTGATGACACACACCTTTCTTTTTATCTTCAGCAGGTGAGGATGTGGATGTCCTAATCTGGTGACAATAGGCAGGATGAGAGCTAACAAGCTGAAGCTCAATCCAGACAAGACTGAGTGGTTGTTGGTGGGTGGTTCTTCTGACCAGATGGAGGGTGTTCAACCTGTTCTTGATAGGGTTACAAAGGAACAGGTTAATAGCTTGGAAATTTCCCTTGAGCCATCTTCTTCACTTGAGGCCCAGGTGGTTTCAGTGGCCCAGAGTACCTTCTACCAGCTTTGGCTGGTGGCTCAGCCATGCCCCTCTCTGGACAGAGATAGCTTGCTATCAGTACTCTAAGAACTGGTGATCTTTAAATTCAATTAAAGTAATGCACTTCATGTGGGCTGCATTTGAAAGTGGCTCAGAAACTGCAAACTAAGACATCGTAGAAACGTATCAAAAGAAACATACGTGGATTCTAGTCTTCACTCAGTCAGGAAGCTGACTGGGTAACTTTGGGCCAGTCACTCACTCTCACTGGCTACATACCCTCCAGCAGGATCAAAGAAAGGATAGCACCAGGCTCGATCATCTTCACAATAGCAGCAAGGTCCCCGGGCTAAGGCCAACGCGGAAATGATGAAGCAGTATCCAGCACCGAGAATCCCAACACAGCCTAAAATGACTATTGCCAGCATCTGCAATATAAAAACAAAGATGAATGGCCCACCTCCTTTGAGTTCCTGATCAGATCTCATTGTTAAATGACTGGCAAAGGCAAGAGTTCTCTTACCGCACAGCTTCTCCTACAGTTTTCCTGAGGACAGCATCCATGGAAATGGTCATGTTCCAATCCAATAAACACACATGCTGAAATCAACACCTAAGTTGAAATATGAACAAAGAGTTTATTGCAGCTGGAATACTTGCTGGGTTGTAACTGGCAGCTCAAGGTGTGTTCCTGGGAAGTTGTAACATTGATCATGGCTGTCAATGTGCCCAACATTGCTTTTCGTCCCATTCATTTCTAAACATTTTCTTCCTAGCTAGTTAGCTAATGAGATCATAGAATCATACAGTTGGAAGGAGCCTAGAAGGCCATCAGGTCCAACTCCCTGCTTAATGCAGGACTCAAGTCTCCCACCCAGATTCTATCCAGGTCTGACCCTGTTTAGCTTCCAAGATCATGAAGGATCAGACACTTCAGGCATAGATACAGAAGCTATATAGCTGCTTCATAGAATCACAGAACTGGCGATGAAGACAAAATGCAATTGAGTGTACTATCACTAGCTAGATCATCAACTAGATACATTGCATTAAAGTTCTCCATACATGAAGCCACCTGAGCCTGACCACCATGTTCCACACCACAGAGCAGGTCTGCACAGAAAGGTAGCCACACAATAACCCTCTGAAAAAGCAAAACAACACAAAAATCAGATGCAAGCTCTAAACTTGCAGGCCATCTATAAACATACAATTACATTTGAAAAGCCATTACACGTGTATATGTATATGTGTGTGTGTGTGTGTGTGTGTGTGTGTGTGTGTGTGTGTGTTTGAAAAATGTTAAGTCCCGCTGAATGTTCAGATGAGCCTTCATTTTAGTGTTGTACAGGAAAATCAAGATTAGTTTAGATTGAACGGTATGGACTAAATACGACACTTCTGTGGATGCCAAGCAGGTTCAGAGTCTGGTCAATTCTTGGATGAGGGCTGCCAGGAATCCCTGTACATTTTGCCTTGATTTCCATCACAGAAAAGTGGCATCTTATTGTTTAGCTTGATGAATTATAACAGTATTCCCAAAGCATGTTCAAAGAGGCTATGGCTGGATGGCTGTGATTCAGAGCTCTCCATTTTCACAGGTAAACAACTGACTCAGCCAGTGTCAGTTTTTATTATACATTTATTACATTCATATATATTTCACCACCACCAGGTGACATTTCATTTCAGTCCCCACACACTAAAACAGGTTGAGAGTTCTTCGGCCTTGAACCAGGATCTCAAGGCCCATCAACCAAACCCAGATACAGGGGACATACATGCAGACTTGAAGGTGTCTGAAGATGAACTGAGCTCATGTTCCTTCCACAGTTTGCGTCATGTCATTGCATTGTTTCCATTGCTGTTCCATCGGGAATCGAAAACATTTGCCGAGCAACTTCAAATCACCCCAAAATCCGCCAGAAGACCCAGGGCTACCATGTGCCCATCAGCTCTGTCGCCATGTAACACGATTATTGAGGCAGTGCTCAAGCAGGGTGTGCTGGGCTGCTGATGCAAAACTATTCCGCTTCTTTTCAACGGATGTAAGCTAAGGATGCTTTTTGGATGCAGCCAGATTTGACCCGTCTTGAAGCTTTGATAGTAATTTGGATTTAGATGGGCAGAGGGACCAAGCTATTTCTCTCCAAACTGCGTGGGTGTGCACACACACTCACAGACCTGTGAGGTGGCGGGGAAAGGAGTGCTGTAATTTTGTGATCTAGTTTTAGATTCTATCTCAGTGAATGGATGGGGTACGAGGCGAGACTGAGGGAACTGGGTCTCTTCAGCCTGGGGAAGAGGAGGCTCAGAGGGGATATGTTGGCAACATACAGGTATGTGAGGGGGTGTCACACGGAGATGGGTAGAGACCTGTTCTCCCCTGCAGAGGAAGGCAGAACGTGCTCCGTTGGAGCGCGTTCTGCCTTCCTCTGCAGGGGAG